GTCGAAGGCCTTTTTGAAGTCGATGTAGATGGCGTGCACCACACTACCTTCATCGCGTGCTTTGGTCCAGCGTTCGAGCGTAAAGAGCAGATTCGTGAGGCAGGACCTACCACTTCGAAAGCCGTGTTGGGCATCAGAAAGGAGATGGTGCTGCTCGAGGAACTGCATCAAGGCCTTCTTAATGATCTTCTCCATGATTTTGCAACAGATGGAGGTAAGACTCACTGGCCTGTAGTTATTCGCAGACGCACGACTTCCGCTCTTAAAAAGCGGAGTGATGGTAGCGGACTTCCAGTCAGAGGGCAGGCATCCAGTAAAAAATGATGTTTGGAAGATCAAGGCTAATGGCTTGGACATTTCGGGAGCTAGTGTTTTCGGGTCGAAAACGCAGTGAAGAATTTCGGTCAACAGGAAAGTGAGCATTTTAAGAACCTAAGAAAAATCTTTTACTATTTTTGACGACAGTAAGATGGTGCACTTTCCACAATGAAAATTCCAACATTCCACTCTTGATGCAGCCAATAGTAATACCAGATCATATTCTGCCGGCGTGAAGAGCGCATTTTGATGAACTTGCACTTAAACCGATGTCAATGAACTAGTGGAACGTTCTGCAGGGTCCTACAAGTGAGTCAGATTGCAAAATATGTCGTCAATCGCGTTTTTTCAAACCTAAAATCGGATAAAGTTTTCAAAAAGGGCAAAAGAAACAAATTTTTTGCTACCTCTTAGAAAGATCAGCCGACAGTAGATGTGCTAACTCGGGAAATGTTGACCTAAATTCTGAAATGCGTTTTCGACTCAAAAAGATTACTTAATTAGGGTTGTAAGGCTAATTGTCGTGCAGTATAATCCCAGGACATTTCAGTCACTTCAGAATGATGGCCTTCGAATCTTTCTAATTCCCGAATAATTTTGCACCCGACCTGCTCCTACACTTGTATACAGGATTTCAAACTACAAGCCTTATATTCTCCGTGTGCGGAAAATGATACATTCCTTTACGACATTAAGAAGAGACTAAATGGGGTTCATAAAATTTTATAGTGCATTTGAGCCGTACTGCAAACATTACAAGCAACTTTGATAAATGCAAAGACATGAGGTTTCATGGACAGGCATTTCACGGTCTTAAAAAATTCCATGATTATAAACTTCTTTTGAAACGGACTTTCACCCTTCCCTCAAGTGCAAAATTTGAAAAAAAGACGTAAATGTGGTCCAAACGAATGAAGGAATAAGTATTGTTATGCATGTTTTCAACGAAATGTACCTGAATTTATAAGAACGTCGAAGGTCCCTGAGAACATTCCGCACTAATTAAATGGCCGTTTATACAATGTAGTTTTTGCATGCGGTTAGAAAGAAGTTCGTTTAAAAGTCGCCAGAGTAACTGAAATATCCTGGTATTATGCTGCGTGGTGATTAATTTTACAACGGTGGACATCATCGAAAGCGATGGTCGAACTGTCAATTAATTTTACAACCCTACATAAGTAATCCTTTAGAGTCAAAAACGAATTTTATGAGTTAGTAAATCTACTGTAAGTATCCTAGTGAGCACAACGAGACTATTGAATTCCGTAAAACGATCATTGAGCGCTCCTAAACTATTGTATATTCCAGGCCACAAGCGACAGATCAACGAGCCCGTGGCTCAGTGGTTAGAGGCGTTGGACTTCTACTTAACAGGTCGCGAGTTCGGGCCCCAGGAGTTCCACACTTCGGGGTTGGGTATGAATGGCTGACGACGGCTAATTAGACAGAAATGGCCATTTCAGTCTCCTTTGCCTTTGTCAATAATGCCAGTCCCTTTCCCGTCATAACTGCTGACTACGGGAATGAGCAAATCGCACTCAGAATGCTTACTCGCGATTTCTTGTCTACTCATCAATAGCTTGAGCTATCGAATTATAATCCAAAACATGCCAGAGTTAGTCTGGATTTGCTTTATCTTCCAGAAGAATGACGGCTTATACTGTCCGTGACTATATTAAAATGATGACGATCGGAAACCCAATCCCACTCGGCCATTAATTGACGACCTTGCTACTACTCCCGTCCTCAGTAGGTGTGTTAGCGTTTGTGAAAATTTCCTGGCCCTCCTCAACCGTTCAGCTGTTACAAGTGATAGACGGAACATCAATTATTTGGTTTTCTGGGGCAGATAGTGAAATATTCAGGAAAAATTAGCCGGTGAGGTTAATTCCGACTGTAACTTAAATGAAAACTCCCCGACATTAAATTACGATTTTATCGCTTGTTTGTACTTCCCATTATCGAGTATTGTTGTCCATTCTTTGGTTTTATGAACGAGGCTAGTCGTTCAAAAATAGAAAAGTGTTAGGCATGGAGCATACAAATATCTCATACCCATATAGATGCCAGCTAACTAACCTAAAATTCTTATGGGTTCAAAGACTAGAAACAGACTTCTGTCTTCTCTTTCGCATTAATAATAGTTCAAGTCTTCCTCGGATTTCAGCATTTATCCATAGTAGTCGCCCATACAATCTTCACAAACCTTCCCTGATTATCCCTTCTCCCGCTTCCTCCACCTCTAAGCGCTCTCTTCATTCGATTCTAGGTATACTTTCCTCTGGAATAACCTCCAGATCTTCAGATAATCTACACACATTTAAGAGAAGGCTACGCCTTTTTCTGAGTACTGACTCGATTAAGCTTTTATTTTCCTCATCCTTCCCAGACAACTTTTTCTATGATACTGAGAAATGGTCACCGGGAATTTAGGACGCCGCCATTAAATTTCCTTACCTGCTCTAATTTCCTTCTTTTGTGTGTAGTATCGCTTCCTAGGCTCCCTCATCAGAAATGTTAATTTTCCGATTTTTCAGTTCATGCATCGTGCCCCTCACAGAATGTGCTCTATCGACGCTCTTGGCGGGGCCCTCGGTATTCTGGGTTCCTATCGACTCGATACTGGTTTTCTATTCGCTAATTTGACATGAATGCCCTCATCCGGCATATGAATTCTGCCTTGCTGATACCCGTATCGAATCTTTTACTCAATATCACATACAGGCCAGTTCTGCCTGACCCGCCTAATTACCCCTTCATGAAATCCGTTATAAACTGTCACATAGAGGCCGGTCCTGCCTGCTTTTTATACGTTCAGGAGAGACAGTTTTTTCTGCTATAGGATTAATCCAGTCATACTCACTTGGTTTATATGTTAGGATTTTTTCTCACTTCTCGCTCAAATTTCTCCGTAACATACTACTTATTAAATAACTATGAATTAAGTATTGTGTGGATTCTGTGTACCTGCTCTAAAATTCCAAAATTTGTTTAAAAGCTACCCCCACGGGTCTTGAATGAAAATTATTATTATTATTATTATTATTACTAATATATCAGCCCTGACAGGGCTGCTGGCAAGCAAGCAATATATCCGCTAACATCCCCGCGCCAGGGGCGTCCTACGTTTTTGGCAAGAAGGAGCTTCAAACATCGTTTTTCCAATTTCACCAACGAAATGACCGTCCTTCCGATCTTCGATATGCTGATTCCCATCCTTTACGGCCTGGTTTTGTCTGACTTAGACAGTGAATTTGAATGGTCGCCGTCCACACGGCCATCTTTCGTATTTTTAGCTTACTGCATGCACTCGATTTTGACAGGGCTTCCAAATTGTGAAGGGTCAACAGTTCGGGGTCTCTCAAGTCAAAAGTCGGGAAAGACAGGGCTACTGGAAAAACATTGCTAAGACAACAGGACATATACGCGAATCAGAAGGTGGGGAGAGTAAAGGTTCTCACGGACAGTGTAGAGAGAGAGAAATTCGCTTTATTTTGAAATCATAAATGCAAAATTCTCAGCAAAAATTGATCCCATTCAATATGTGCAGTAAACAAGTTAATAGATTATTCCAGAGTCAAGAAGTTTAACGCAAAAGGAACGATTACTATGAGGACAGTTCAAGTCTTAACTTCTGTATTTCTATACCTTCACACATAAGATAGCGTGCCAGGAATGGCAGTACGGAAGCTCGAAAAGCCGATGTGCGGCAAAACTCAAGTCGGAAGCTGCGGCGCATTGGGCGGGAAGACTTCGCAGAAATAAGATCAGAATGCGAGGGATTGGCAACGTCATCTTTAATCCGACCAGCAAATTGCTTGAACGTATTGAAATATCGTTGTAGGATAATATCGACTAAAAGGATAAGAAACACCAGCGGTAGAAGGGGGCATTCGGAGGATTCGTTTTAAAATTAAAAGATCTCTTTTGAGCAAAGCAGGAAAAATGACAGGAGAGCAGTAAAGGATAAGAGGAAGAATGCAGGCATCGATGAATCGCCAGACCAAGGGTTAAGGTGTGTGGTAGGAACGTAAACGAAGAATGTAATAAGGAAGTTTACGAACTTTAGTAAATAGGGGCTCAATAAGGAGGGAAAATGAAAGATTTGATGATAAAATGACGCCAAGGTACCTGAAAGAGGATACCTTGTTAGGAATGATGTCAGAGGATTCAGGACTAGGGAGGGCGCAGTCGGAAAATGCACTGAACTGATTTTTGGTTGTTCATTAGGAGACCATCCTCCTTCAGCCATACTAAGACATGGTTTAGGCCATCCTTTAGAGAATGGAGGTGTGTCTGACTCTTGAGAGGGTGTCCAACAACCACATCATCAGCATACCTAACCAAAAGGGAGTCGTTAGTGGATCTTAGATCGTCGTTGTGGAGGGAGGAAAAGTGATGGGGTAGAATGGAACCTTAAAAAACTCCGCAGTACTTGAGAAGTACCACAGATGTCCACTTTTCAGACTGGAAAAATTGAGTGTGGGAAGTAAAATAATCGCCTAAAAGGGGCATAAATCAAATAACGCTTGCAAACTCTGATAATCTAGACGGAAATTCATAAATTCTTAAAATTTATTCTTTGTTTAAGCTGACCACCATTCGTTTTCTGAATTCACAATAACTTCCACAGACTTTAGATATCGACTCCACCTAGTCCTTCCTCCGTAGTGATGGAGTCCATGGTCCTTAAGGCTTTGCCTGGTCTCATTTCGACGGGAACGTCGCTGACTCTGCAGTTCGCCACCCATCATGTTATTTCCCCAGCTGACGACGTGCGTTTGTTAATCTATACACCCTCGCCTTCTATGAAGTTCAGATCGCACAATAGGTGATGGAGAATGCACAATTCTGTTATTCTTATGTCCTTGTCCTAATGGGCTGCCGATCTATCACGGGCGGAAGTTTTTTCTCCTGAATAACACCGGTTATCCAAAACCCAGCTAATTCAGCGCTGCCAAATCAAGAATTTTTTAATTTTTGTTCAAGCCGCGAAATCTATTTACCTTGTTATTGCCTGTAAACTGAAATTCAGTATGATAATTTTTCTAATCCTGAGTGCTTCCGACGAATTGAATTGAATTTAGACGGCGGATTAACAGAAGAGGGCTGAAGGAGAGACCAGATCTCTACTCCCATTGTTCAAGGACACAAGTATTTACTTCGCTTGGCAACCCGGGTGGTCCGCTAGCGGGAGTTTTTCCCCAACCATGCAGATATTCAAACGTGGAATCGCAGAACAAGCTTGATGTGTTAATACAAACTCCTTAAAACCTTCCGCTCATTGTTTGCGAGTGATAAGAAGTGAAGTGGCAGTGCTTCGCGCCACTAGGAGTGCCTGTATCAGTTTTGATAAAATATTTTTCTCCAGGATTTTCGACTGATTTTTTAGCCCGAATTCGGAACATGTTCTGGAGACCGTGGAAATCCATGATGAAAATAGTCCTAAAAGTGTTTACGGTCATAATTCCTTGCTTATGCGACCTGCCATTCCTTTGAACCATAGGCAAATTTGCGGAGTTCCTTAGCACGCAATCCGCATTATGAACAAGCTCGAATATGTCCTCGTCTTCTAAAATTCACTGCTACAGCTCTTCACCGAGTTAATTCAATTAAATGGCAGGTTAAGCAGTCAAGGCTGTGTGTGTGTGCAGAAACACTTCATGTCTGTCAAGGCGACCAAAAATGGGAGCTGTCACTGCAGACGTTGTGATGTCAAGACTCACTGTCATAGAGGGTGGAGTCCCACAAGCCCTAGTGCTCGGACTGACCATCTCGCTCCTGTCCATTGGTGACAAAACAACCATCCCATTACGAGCAATCTCACCGAAAGCGAAACGAGGTAAGGTCGGCTATTCGCAGGTCGCGGAATGCGTATGAAACGCGAGTAATGGGATGCGCCTTCGATAAACTAAAAGTGCTCTTCAGTTACATTAACAACAAATTAAAGAACAAGGAGACGATCTTAGTGTTGTTAGGAAAAAACAATTAGGATATCACCGAAAATGACGCTAAGGCAGAACATCTTAGCTGATTTTTCGTATATATTTTCGTCGATTAAACGGTTTTTGACGAGGCTTGATTGCCTACTGGAACAAACGACGAAATAATAGAAAACATCGACTTCACGGAAGAAGATGTGAGGAAGGGACTTCCAGCGCTTAAGGAGGTTAAGTATCCGCGAATGACTGAGAGAGATCGTTCCATTTCGCCACTACTCTCCGTGAAAAATTCAGAATGAAGATTTAGCCTGGATATTTCTGTCCGTAGATTCATTGAATGACCACTAAAAATGGTTGAAAGGTGTCACTGAAACATGTATTCAATGTTAAGTCCGTACTCAAGACCATGTTTTGTCTTGTAAACCGGAATAAGATCACCTCTTTGCTGCCTGTAACACAGAGGGAAAAAATTAAGGCGAGCTCGTCTTTCTATGTGGGACTGGCTTTTTAAACCGTTCACCAGTACTGTTGCATGACGTTGTAATCTTTCAAGGCACGTTTGGGTCATTACTAGCCATGGCCGCCACGCTTTTATACCATATTTTAAATGGGGCCGAACAAAGGTGCCTTAAACTCTTCCAAAAAGGTCTTTATCAAAGGTTGCGGACGCCCTTTTTACTGCATGGAGCACTCCCATGGAGTTTTTTCGCAATCTTGTCGCACTGCAGTATTGGTTTCATGTTGGTCTGTACCCAAACACCGAGATCCTCGTGTGAAGATTTTGCGGGGAGTGTTCTGGCTTTCAGGCGATATGTCCTCAGGCTCTCAGTTAATGAGAGTTGGTTAAACGCAGATGAAGGACGGCACACTTCAGCACATTGAAATGCAGAAGCCATTTCTTCGACCACGCTTGCAGTCGGTGCAGATTGTTTTCAAGGGCTCTCTGATCATTTGGACTCTTTGTGACTTGCCGGAGCTTAACGTCGTCTGAAAACATTATTTTACCACAGTAGAGTTCCTGAAGGCTATTATTAGCAGGGGTCCCAGAACTGAGCCTTTAGGCACTCCACTAGTCACGTTCACCCTGTCTGACATATCATCTGCGGTACAGACACGTTGTTTCCGACCAAACAGAAACGCCCTTATCCAGTTCGAAAGATCTCCCAAAATGCCGATGGCGTTCAATTAATGATGAAAGCGTTGGTGCGGAACAGTGTCGAATGCTTTGCGGAAATCGATGTACACGACATCGAACTCAAAACCCTCTTCTAAAGATCTGGTCCAGTTCTCCAGACAAATAAGCAGATTTAAGAGGCAGGAATGTCATCTCCGAAAGCCATGTTGAAAATCCTGCAAGGTGCTTTTTCTTCACAAAATTCTCTATTAGGGCTTCCGTTGTCTTGCATAAGAGGCAAGTTAAGCTAATAGACCTGAAGCCGCTTGTACCATCCTGCCACCTCCCATATGCAAGGTAACGAGGTTAGCTGTCTTCCACTGCGAAGGCAGCCTTCCTGTTCGCATTGACAGCTCAAAGAGAGTCGAACGAGGCTTCGACAGCTCCGTTGATATCTCCTTAAGTATTAGTCCGGGAATTTCGTCGGGTCCAGGAGACTTTTCAGGTTATATTTGACTGAGGACACGTCTTACTTCTTCGACGGAGAGGGCAACGGTTTCAATGACGGCACTATCTTGGCGCATGTCCCCTCTGTATTGCCAGTAAGAGAGAGGAAATATTTTGAGCCTTTCCAGTCGTTCCTCATAACGAAGGCTCTTTAGCCACCGACTAGTTAATCGTTCTTCATTGTACCTTCTCCAAGAGACTTGATACTGTGTTTCCGTATCGTGCGTGGCTTGGACTACGTCCTCCGGTGTGACGACTTCTGCCAAGTCGTCACTATAAGTAACCTCTGGTGACATCCTTTCAAACTACGTGTGCCTCAAGGAATATTGGATTTGATGAACTATTTTTTATGCAACGGTGTCTTGGAAGGACCTAACCGAAGCGAAGGTAATGCCTCAATTTATGGAGATATTTCGAAATCAGCTTGACGGACATATGCTGCAACAACAAACGGACTATGTGACCGTAACTATAAAAACCAGGGACCATTATAAATCGAGGTCTTTATTTACTTAATACTAAACTTTATTTACATTATTGCCACTTTTGTGATTTTTATGTGACGAATAGGGAGTTCGCAGGCGTAAGCCTGTGCCCCTCAAATATGCTAAACAATGAACTGAAAACTGAACATCGATGGAACGCTTTTAAGGGACCCTTGAGATATTCATGCTCGAAAATGTGTTAGGACAACGAGAACTCAATTTCATCCTTGTCGCTCATCTCCAAATTTTAATATATTTTTGATCCTTTTTGAGTTTTGCTAACACACGGTGTCTCTGTACTCTGCTTCCAAATTTACGCTGAAAGTATGGCACTCAAAGTTACACACTTATTTCTATTCCCATATACTCTAATGAACTGAATTGAATCTGAGCTCTCTGTTTGAATTTGTAGAGGTTAGCGTGTTAAGTATTGCAAATGGTACTGATATTTAATGCCCCATTACTGGTAATGTCAAAATGAAAGTGCAGGAGAGATACCACAGAAGTGAAAAGCTGCGAAATGACTGCGTGGTCTTAATTCGATTTTGCATAGTAAAATGTCGACTATTGGGATTATGAAAGGAGAATAACATCATCACGGCAGAAGAACGCAACCCAACAGAGTTATCGATTAATGCTTCAGTTCTAAAAGGTTCCCTGTTCTGTATCCTTTTAAATGCAAATTAGCAGCCATGCATCCCTGATGCTGCAGACAGGTCAGAAAGTATATTTCGTTGACTCACATTTCGTGTGAGGAAGATTTCAAGAAGCAATTATGAGTTGGTCAGTATCGGGCCATAAAATCATCACTAACCAGTCACTCGTTGCACCTATCTATACTTTGACGATAGAGACTAAAAAACACTGCCCATAGCCCCTTGTTGGCATTCAATTGTAATGCTGCTGTTTGGTAGAATGGCGGGTATTCGGAGTGAATGCGTTAGAACTTCAGTTCTCACCGCTAGATTAACTTGTGCTGGTTTTGATTAAACTAATCTAATGGCAAATGGTTGGCCCTATGCCCTGCAGCCATCATAGGATTACTTATCTGTTTGATTAAAATTCTACCCTCAACCATACAGGAAATTGCCCTTCAAAAGGCTAGCTTGTTTGCTCCAATGTGTCCAAAAATATTGCTGATATGGGATGATCCTTGGTTCCTAAATAAGTAAATTACGCTCACCAAAATCTTCGCTCTTCGTATCACACGGCTCCCTGTTCGGTCAACTTAATTTGTTGGCAGACAATTATTTGCATCAATTAACATTTCTCGCGATACAATGTTATGAAGTAAGGAAAGATTCACGGATGAGTCTTTTCTCTTTTCGAAGTTGTGCGCCTCTAGAACCAGAAGATTTTTTGACTCTATGTACTTTGATAATAAGCTTCCTCATCCCAAGCCAGGAATGCTGGTGTCGGAAGTTTTACTACAAATAACAGACGGCTGAACTTGCAGTTTTATAATGGCCAATCAAAATTCAGAATATTATATAGGTTAGCAGGAATACGAAGGTAATTTAAATTACCTCCTCAAGAATCTAATGAAAGTCTTCTGATTGGTACAGTAAAACATGCGAAGGTAAAAAACAAATGTGATTTACTTTCAAAAAGTGTGCGTATTGCCTTACTGAAGTTTGTTTTTATTAGTGCATTTAACTTAAAGTAGTAGACATTTTCAACATTAAAGACATCAAATGAAGGACTTTTGTTGAGTATTTATCCATTATGATTTTGCTACTATGCACTAGCTTTCCGAGCCAAATATAATTTCATGTATCATCGTTTTGCTTCAGAAATCGTGAGTGTCTTTCTCTCTGGCTAAAAATGCCTCGTCTATTCTTCGCAATTATTCGGATCTTGGCAGGAAAATGCGGACCAGATGCACGTTTAGTCTGAAAAGTTGAAACCAACTCTTTCCACAGCTTTACTTGCTTTTTAAAAATCAGCATTCACTTAGGTCGATGATGTGAACTCCTATTAGGTTGCGAGATCCATCATCTGACCCAACTCTCCAAAATTTCCCAGAATTATTTGTGGACAGAACTCATTAAATCCCGTGCCACACACTGGGCCTTAAAACCTTATCCCAATTCTTGGATAGTAATATTGCTAGCTACTAGAATATTGATATTTAACTTCTTTTTCTGTCCGTGGCTTTTTTATACAACTTATACGTTATCTCGTACGAGTGCGGACCGTTGAGAGCTTATTGATATGGATTACCCATATAGGTACCTTGTATACCCTTCATATTTGGTTTGAATTAAGTTGGATATTCAAAAGGTAAACAAGTTTGACTACTATTTCCAACTCTGATACCCTGCCCTTGACCAACCTGAGCCATATTTTCAACAATAGTTTCATCGAATAGGAATTACGTTATCCGATTTGGGTAGCCGAAGTAGGCTGGTTAAGATATCTAATGCGTTTTCGTAAATATTTAGAATGAGTGATAAAAATTGGATTAAGGATAGCGTTACAAATGTTTTGTATGAATATATTTATCAAACGGGAAAAGAAATTGGCAGACGGCCGTTCCAACCCGTGTAAGTGCTACGTTTCTATACGAGGGACGTAATAATTGTAATAATAATTTTACAAACGTTATGTTTTCGGAAAGCAAAAAATTGTAAACAAACAATCATTCTGATTAAGATTGCCTTTCTATAATGTTCTTCGGCAATGCCTTAACTACCTATTTCGGTTAAGTTAGACTATTTGGCAGAAACCTGCAAAAACTAAACTTAAATTGATATTACCCACTTTGACGTCACGGCGCCCGAAAGTTGACATTTTTTCTACAAAAAGGACAGTCTGAAAAGGGTTTTTTATGATAGCATTATCGAGAGCTCATTTTCTATTAATATTAATTAATATTATTATAGCAGTGGCACTGTGTAACTATATTACCACCTAAAGTTGTCATTTCCTCTTTAAATTTAAAGAAAATAAACCATATATAATGTTTTAATATTAAACTTTGTAAAATTTATTCTATAGGCATATATATCCTTCTAATTTGTAGTTCTTTTTAAAAAAAAACTACGTTGGAATCGACAATCACCTCGAGAAATAAGTGTTCTGTTTGGCGGAAAACTGCTCAGATGTATTTTTTCCAATAAAATGCGATAGGTTTCAAAGAAACGTCGTTTATGTTTCCGAATTTTTAGTAGCAAACTTTGTTCTGTCGTAGGTTTGGGCGTTTTATAATGCTTTATACGTTTTATAACTACCTGGGCATAAGTGTCTTTAGCTGTGTAGATTGCAAGCACATTTCGGTCAGCGGAGCAAACATTGGGGTTCGGTTCACCTAGTTGATCCGTGCACATGGGATCTTGGATATCAAAGTTGTCATAATTGATAGCAGTGTACAGGTTATCTCATTTGTCGACTATTCGACGCTCGATCGTCGAATTAACAGGTCTGTTCATTAGCCGATATGGACTTGTCGGTGAGGCCACTTCAGATAAATTCTAAAAATTTTGGTTGATAATGCCAGAAGGAAATTATAACATACGGTTTCTTTTATCAAAAGAATTATTACACTGTCACCTCGAAATTCAAATTTTTGAAGAATGTCTGAATATTTCGAACGAACTTTATTTTTAAATGTTTTCCAAACTAGAACAAACGACTGTAAGCATTTCTGAATTAGAGGTGGCCTAAAACTGAGACAGTTACATGCCTATTGAATGCACCGAAGACGTAAAATTAAGAGCGCAATACAAGATACGGGAACTCTCTCAATGTTGTCATGTTGTTTTTGTTAATGCACACAAAAATGCCAAATGCACTAACTTTGGTTCTCGTGCTTTAAGACATGTAGACTTTACGTATTAGCTTTTGTCCTAAAATCCTTTGCGACGATGGCTTTAAGGCTGCCGGTGTTTAGATCGTTATCTTCTTTAGTTGTGAGCACCAATTCGGTTAAACGGTAAAGTGATATTTCTCCTCAAACGTCAAGTATGCTAATCACAACAACTTTTTTGCAATCATTTAACTGAATTTACGTTATTTTATTCTTGCCCCTATAGTGGATCCGCCTCCTTTACATTTTTCTGCACAGACAAAAAAACTGGTAAAGAATGGGTGCTCAAAACTTTGCAAAAGAGGGTACGCAGTATATTATTTCTGTTTCTAACATATTGCTTACTTCTAGGTGAAGAAATCCATAACTCAATGCGAGCTAGGCAATTTGCTGCGCTTAAATCACCCAAATATTGTATGAGTTCCGGTAGTTTCATTGACTTACTTTGACAATTAGGCACGATTGAAGGAAGTCTTTGAATCGGACGCATTCATCCAGATCATTTCGGAGGCCGTTTATGGAACCCCTCTTTTTGAAGCGTTTGTTTGGTGTCAACGTTTTCATGCTATCTATTTTTTGGACATTTTTGCATACCGCACACTAGTCATGTTCACAGGCACTATGTCTGTTGACCACAGTATTCCATACATTATATGCAAGGAAGCATTTTAGCACATAACCGTTGAAAACTATTATTGATTATACGATCTTAAGACCTGTTCACATCCCAAAATTATTTTGATTTGTCTGGAATGAAGAAATAAAAATAAAAGGCACACGCTTTTAGAAGATAAACGAATTGTACGTTTCTTGGGGCTTTTGTATATCCCTGTTTTGGTGATTCTGAAGCACTCAGCTTGCGTAGAAAAAGAGTTTTGAAAATGTATTCGATATATCTCCCTTTGACAAATGACATCGGGAGAATGGTTGTGATTCGCTTATTTAAATTCATAAAAGTACTTAAGGTGAAAATACAAGGAATGTAAAACAGTCTTTGTTAAAAGATGAGGAAAAATCAGTGTGATTAAGGCAAGCCTTTTTAGACCCTTTTGGACAGCCATTTTGAAAAATTTGTAAAGAGGAACAGAAATTAATCAAGATCATATATTATTAATACAGACTGAGGTCACTCAATTTATTGATCTAATCACAAACGGATTTCATCATTAAGACTGTGCAACCCAACCAAAAATCTGGACATGTCCATGCAGGTTGCAGTTCCCTTCTTAAAGTATTGTTTTATTCCAATTTTGGTCTACTTACCGCATTACAATAACACTCGGCTATATAACCTTCAAAATATTTTTTCTGACGCCAACATGCACAGACATTGCCTGTGTTTTACACCGTAGACTAGCTGACATGCCAAAGTACAGTGAACAGGAATTGGCATTTTGCATGCGTGAGATTCTCAAGGGTTTGAGTTATCTGCACGAAAATGGACTTGTTCACAGAAGTCTCAAGGTGCGCTTAATGCGGTTTTTATAAGTTCTTCCTAGGGCTTTTTGACAACATTTTTGTTTGAGATTTAAAACATATTTTCGTTAGAAAGAAGACCTACTTTTCGACAAAGGGTAGATAAATTTATCGTTTTTCATTTCAGAAGCTTTTTATTACCTTCGGATCAGACAGAGTGGCCTTTTACATTCTGATGGTCTTTTACAGGCTTTATTGTCGTTCATTAACTGCAGTCATAATGAGACCAAACAATCGACCTGAATAGTCGGTGCTCTTTAATATTCCATCTGATGCCCTTACTTTTCCGACATTTGCTTTGCATTTTGTCTTTTCGCATTGACTTTTGTTCCCGAATGTTGCTTTGCAGAAGTTACAGCTCTGCTTTTTATTCCTCAAAATTCGTTTCATATCACAAAATGTTTTGAAAAACATCGGTCATAATCAAATGAGAAAACTTAATTACCAAAATCATTCTACAAACAGAATTTATTTTAATGAAGTTCGTTTGGTAAGTGACATTAAAAATCGCTTTTATAAGTGTAAAAACAGACTTCATCATCCTTTTCTGACCGTTTCGCGAGAACTTCAATATTTCCTAAAGTGACTTCACTCAAACTCGGCATTTACTTAGAATCAGTGAATGTGGTCGGCAAAAAAATGTTTAAATTCGGTCTTTGTTAGCAAGCACTTATGTTGCGGGCAGTTAAAAAGGCTGTTATAACAGCTTAAGTCATGTGCCGAGCCAAACGTCTAGGACTATCAGACAGGCTTTCAATTAATCTAAGGATATAGTCGAAATCTAATAAAAAGTAATGTTTTGTTCGGAAGCTCTGAGGAGTATTTCGGGCGTGAAGCATGCATTCATTTTTTGCAAATCACAGTTACATTAAATCATAAAACAGGCTTTTAATTTCTCGATCTTCTACACGTATCTTATTTTCCGACTAGAATGATGAAGATTATAAATTATCCTAATTTTGAGACTCGAGTCTTCGTTTGACAAGCGCAAGCTCTTTTCAGAATTTTTCCCTTAAGGGCCTTTGAGAGACCCTGGTCCACTGCGTCCACGTTTTCTCGAGTATTGTCTTTAGTCTGCTGGTTAGTCGCAGATTAATTGACATAACTCTGATACTGCAGATAGTAAAAGTGAAAACTGATTCAATTTCGAATTCGCGCAGTCAATGGCTCTTTAAGAGTCTACTGAAGTGGCTACATTGTGGCATTGCTCGTATGGGCAATTACGTTTTGTTGATGTCACCGGTTGAGGCAAGTTCTCAAACACAAAGCCTTTAAACTTTCTCCGAATTGCTCGATATCACTGTAGCTGTGTTGCAATCCTTCTTCTGGAGAAACAGGGCGTCCGGTTACCTGTTTGGCCGTTGCATCGCACCAGACTGTGCTCTATGCTCGTGATCCTAATTATTTGCTTACCTCCAGAGTCGTTCAAACTAGAACGTGCTATGTCTCTTACAGAATTAAAATAACACATGTATACTCACCGTTTTAGAGTCCTCTAGACAGGATTCCAGAAATATTGTTAGATTGATTGTGTTCTGTTCTCCGTCATGAATTTTTGTTGAGACAAATTTCTAAGGAACACCTTCAAAAAAATCATAAAGTCGGTAACGAGAGGTTATAAATTTTTAAGTAACAATGCTCTCTAATTCGTTTTATACCTTCTCACTATAATTTATTTTAACTCTGCCACTAACTTTAGTATGCTTATGAGGAATAAGAATATTTGCAATCCAACTAATTTGCCAGGAAGTTCATTAGCAATCAAGCCACCAGAAGCTTGCGAAGGAATAGAAGGACAGTCCAGATTTAATCAAGGATTAAATTTTAATTGTAGCCACGAAATTTGATGTACTGCGGCACGCAGGACGGACCGCTCGTGAAAATACGTAAGTTTCGGTTGATCCTGCTATGTACAAACAACCCCGCATTATTCCCATCTTTTCCGTCTTTTTAAACAAAAGAGCCATCTTCGCCTACCAAAAGTTGTTTTTGTCACTATATCTCCTAGATTAACTGAAACCTCTTAACATTTCCTATAAAACGCATTATATTTGCTACTCAGCTTTAATAAGTAGCGTTAGATAATAATATTTTAATGGTCAGTCCAATGCCCTTTGAAGCCTTCTGCGGCTTGTCTCGTGCCAGCCTAACTCACGACGGCAAACAGCCCACTAAATTAAGAGAATTTTGTTACAAATACATCTGGTAAACTTAAAAATTCTTTACTTTCCACTTTCCGAAGTCGATGTATCTTTCACAACAATCCTCGGAAGAGACACAGAGCTGGAAATGGTATGTGGCGATCCGACCTTTTGTGCTCCTGAAATTCTGCTCAGTCATGAGTATGGAACAAGCGTTGATATGTGGGCACTGGGCGTTCTTTTATTTATCATGTAAGTTCCTTTCATTCAAGCCATTTGCCGCAGTCCCTATAAACACGTAATCACCCTAGTAAACAGACGATGCGGCATCTAATCGAATCTTAACTTCCATAATGTGACTGGTGTGTTCGGCAGAGAGAGAGAGAGGACTGCTTTATTTTGAAAATAACTTTCAAAACTTTCAGCAAAAACGGTTTCTCCAGTACACAGTGATTACCATAGAGATTAACAGGTTTTTGGACAGACAGGTGGACATGATTATATATGAATAAAAAAGGACTTTAAGGTGCAAGATCGAGTTTTAGTTTTTGTTTTTCAACATCTTTGCAGGTGAGATACCGGGCTAGAAATGGCAGTATGGAATTCCGATAGGCCGAAGTGCGGCAAGGGATGTGGCGGAAGCATCGACGCGTGGGGCGTAAGGATTTCGCAGCCATTAACTCATTATGAAGGGGATGGTCGGTGTCATTCAGAATTCGGTCAGCGAATTGCTCCACCGAGTTGAAATGTCGCTGCACGATGATATCAAAATTTATACACCAGTCTTGCTTGACAAAAATGACCACTCCTCCACCTCTACTGCCTGTTGGAGATGCTCTATCATTTCGAAAACAGCAAAATGTCGAAGGAGTGATTAATTCCGAGTCAATATGGCTATTCAACCACGTCTCCTGAAGGCAAATTACTCCTGTTTTGTCATGTTCTTTGGTTGACAGAAGTAATTCCAAATCGTGGGCTTTGTTAAATATCGATCGACAGTTAGTCGAAAGAAAACCCGGGATTGACAACTTGTTATTAGGCTGGCGTTTAAGCGCAACTTGCCATCCACAGCGATGTCGCTTTCGAAAAATTGGCCTTTGCTGATACGAGCGTGGGAAGGCCAGCGAGGAAGGACGAGAAACAGGACAAGTTGTCAGAGTGTAACTGCTGCTGGCACGGTGAGTTCGTTGCGTTTGGGAGCGTGGGAACGCCAACGCAGGACAATCGCAGAAACGACAAATTGGCCGCAAAGTGCAACCACTGGAGTCATGATCAGGAGGCGGAAAAATCGATGCAGAAATTTCGCAGGGTTTAAGCTCCTTTAAAAAGGTGCTAGCGTACTGTAAAGACAACCTCATAGGAATAGATAAATTAAAACAAAGGAATAAGACTGGGGTATGCAATTAACAAATATTCATGTGACTGGAGGGAAACAACGAAAAATGGCGGCTCAATTTCAAAAGCCCGCTCGGGAGTAAAATTTTAACTTTAGGCGCTCTTCTTTAGTCGGAAACAAAAATGACTGGTTAAAAACAGTTGTGTAGAGTTATTTTAATTAAATTGAATAAATTCCCTCAGAAAAATTTCGCTTTCAAGACATATCAATGCCTTATTTCTACGTTTGTATTAGGTACTTCGACACCAGATTAATGCTGAGGAAGAAATAACTCCACACTACATCATTGACTTTCCGCCATACAAACAGCTGCAGTGGAGGAAGATGAGGCTTGACAAGACTGCAGCCATTCATATATCGCCGGCATGCCACCATTCAGACGTTCAATAAGCGTTTTTTGAGAAACTTCCCATTTTTAAGGAAGTGCTCTGTTGACTGAGACTCGACCTTGTTCGAGGTGGTTAGGGCCGTCACCTTAGTTCAAACGCTACTAGCCCTTGGGCTGTCTTGCTGGCGGCCCATGCAATACAGTTCCGACCAAAACTTAATACAGGCGATGCGTGAATAAACAAGCGGAATCCCCCAGTGTTAATTATTCAAGACCCAGTAGGTGAGACAACGGAGCGGTTGTGCAATGTTACCGACCAGCTCCAGATGTCGTACCTACATGTGACGGAACTCAATTTAGTGTTAGGAAAACTGCCTACTTATATTATATTAGTACGCATTATTTAAACGTTGCTTTTCTCAGGGTCTGCGGCAGTGAACCCTTCCTGAGAGCAGAAGAGGGTGATACCTTCCGTTCGATCCTGCAAGCTGCTTTCGAATTAGACATGCCTGAGTGGGCAACTGTGACCATGCACGCCAAGGACGTTGTCAAACGGTTGCTCGTTGCGGATCCCCTGATTCGCATGACTGCGGCTCAGACCCTCAAACACGACTGGATCATCGGCGTTGCCACACCGGACCTTCATCTGCCGGCCTCACAGTACGACCTGAGAAAGTATAACAAGCGAAGCGCAAAGAAGGTTGGCTCCTTTCCTTCATTTTGTGCCTTAAAATTTCCCCCGTTCTATGCAGACTACCCTGACGGCTTGCCATTTACCGTGAAAGACGGCTTTTTCCTTCGACATAGCAGTGGCAACAGACTAAATAACAACTGACCGGCCTTGGCACGTCATCTTGTAATTCTGTCGCATATATGTCCGCTTGACAAGGGAGAAGACTGAGTGCGAGGCACAAATACACCCCGGTTTCCCGTCTGACAAGCAGAAAAAGACTAAATGTGCTTCCATCTGCTGCTCGAGGCAGATACCTCCGTGCCCTCGTAAACCTGACGTCAAGGTTTTATGCAGTAACAAGTGATATGGGCTGCCGAAAGAGGATCATGGGCATGCGGAATAGTGGGAACACTCACGGTGGGAACTGTTTTAGCGAGGCAATGGGATACCGATATCTGTTTCTAGTACTCGGATTGTGTACGGTCAGTAGATGAGGGAACTATCGCCCTTGAAGTTGTACTGAAGTTCACTCGTTCACCGATCTCATGAAGTATGGACTAAGATTCTGAAATGCGTTTTTGACTAGGAAGGATGGCAACGATATAGAGAAGGACCCCACTTAACTGTCAGTAGACCGTGGATCGTGCCATACGTGGTTTATGCAAAAGGGAGTTTTATGAGTGGGGCAGCACGCTAGACAGTAAGCTGACAAAATGGAGGAAAACGCAGGAACAGCCTGGATTTATGCCGAAAGCCTTATCCTACGCTATTGTACGACAACGGAAATGAGAGTAGTAATTAAACAATGAACAAAAAGTAAATTTCAAAAAACAACGGATTTTGAGTTAAGGTGTGAGGTCGTGGGAAGTAATCGCTGTTGGCAGTGTAATTGCTGCAACAGCCTGCAAATGTATACCAAGATAAAACCCCATATGACACGATTTACAGTCTATTGACAATTAAGTGGGATCTTTCTCAATATCGTTGCCGAAAAGATTACTTAGGTGGGGTTGTAATCCTGTAATATTTCGGACTTGACAGGATGTCAGCTTTTGAATGCACTTCTTTTCAACCTCATGTAAAAACCGTACTCGGTAAAATATGACTACTTATGTGGCATGCAATTTTCGCATTGATTTTCGATGGTCATATAAACTTATATATATTTTGTAAAAAACAAGAACAGAAATATGGTTTTTTCCCTCGTTTGATAAAGAATCACGCCATCTTCATGCCTTATACTTGAAGAAAAAGTTTAACTAGGTTTTAAAAAGTTTCTTATTATGAGATTTTTTAAGACCGTGCAATGTCCATTCATACATCATAGTACCTATCCGTTTACCACTGCTCCTCATGAAGTGCACAACATAGTCCGCATCCATTGCAAGATTTTATGGACATAGAAGACTATATGATTTTCCTTACGCGGAACTCACGCACCTTGTGAACTGAAATCACAAAATGATAACGCAACGGTTCATCGCGCTTCAAATTATTAGGCAATTAGAAAACATTCCAAAACCTAATTACATTCCTTCTCCGAGCATAAAATATGAAGTTGATGTGATACTCTATCAAACGAGTAAAAAGCATATTTTTGTTCATGTTTTTATAAAATATACTTCAGTTTATAAGACCATCGAAAACCAGTAGGAAAAATGCATGTCACATAAGTAGTCATATTTTACCGAGTACGGTTTTTACATGAGGTTGCAGAGAAGTGTTTTCGAAAGCTGACATCCTGCCGAGTCCGAAATATTATAGGATTATGCGGCAAGATAAGCAGAATTACAACTCCACCTAAGTACTCCTTCCTAATCGAAAGCGCATTTCAGAATTTCAGTCAATATTTCATGGGATCGGTCACTCACTGCAGTTAATTTTCTGTGTGTGGAGACGATCACAATGTCACGGTAATGTGCATGACCCGACGCGTGCTTATGTCCTATCCGTTAAACGATAAAACTACTTCTTTAATCGAGTTGTCCGATACCTGAAGCACCTTGGTAACTACCATTCGCTTCAACGGACTTGCGACAACAGTACATGTCTAAATGTGCTCCGGAGAAGCTAGCGGACATGCAGGTGCGTGTTTTTGAGAATTACAAGTCGACCTCATGATGTTTTAGGGCAAGGGTATACCATACTGGCAGCACAAGTACTAGCCAAAAGCCCATGTACGCGTGCATCGCCGATATTCTGCCGCTGCATAACACAGCTGCGAGGGGTTTGGCCCGTCATTCCCCAGCATTCTCTATCTGCTTTCTGGCAGATACTCTAATTTAGAAATTGCTGCTTTCTAATTTCGTCAGAAATTAACTGCGAACTTGGAGTAGATCAGTTTATTCAAGGCCTATAGGCACAGACCGAGAATTTTATACGTGAATATCTGGTCCGAAGTCCATCAGCCACAGCGGGTAACAGCGTAGTATTCAATAACTGCCGACAGGCAGCTAGTAGTATACTTTAGGGTAAAGGGATATCATACTAACGGCACAGTTACTGCCCTTTTAATAAGAATTTTACTCGCTGTGCCTGACGTAAATCAGAAAATATCCGCAAACTCCCAAAGCACCTTTAATCAATTGAAAATTGGTCCGAATACATCGACCTTCAGTACTGAACAAATGTTATGTTGTTTATAAAAAACAATTTTCTTAAGAAACGTAGTAAAACCGAAAAGTTGAGTATTTGTGCAAAGCAAGCAAACGTAGTTTTTTGAAGTTCATAAAGACTTTCCAAGCAAGCTGCTGAGTAAATGGAACGGCTAAATCAAAGCAACGTTTAGAAATATTTCAGATAATCTATAAGCTGGTAAGTGTAAAAACTGCTTGATCTTTGATTCCATTCAAAAGTGATATTGCGGGAACCCCACATAGCCACAACGTTTTCGCATTTTTTAGATGCGACTGATTACACCGAAGAGCTTTCAGTTAGTCACGGAGATAAGGTTGTCAGAGGCATCAGGGCGGTTAGATAACAGGTTGAAGACCTCCAACGGCGGAGTTTGCTGAGCGTTTTGGCATTCTTGAAATTTAGTTTTTTTTCAGTCGATTGCCCTAAATGTCCTATTCTGTAGTTTGAAGAAGAAGAAGAAGAAGGGCTCTCCGGAACAGAAGATCTTCAGGGGAGCCCTTCTTCTTCTTCTTCTTCTTCTTCTTCTTCTTCTTCTTCTTCTTTAAATAATCAACCCGGATCTCTCAACTTTGCCTAATTCTGTAGTGTTTGCTAATCAAAACCTTAAAAAAAAACGCTTTTTAGACTGTTTATCAAGAAGTGGCGTATAGGACGTCCCTTTTTATATCCATTAAGGCGCAGCTTTTTTTATTGACTCACCTATTCACTGACAACGTAGCCCAGAAACGCATTCGGCATGAGAGAGCATTCTCCAGAAAGTGTTAGGCGAATAACTAAGGTGTTCAATCTTCGAGGTGGTTCGAACTGACCGTCCAGATTCCGAACATCGCGTTCGATCGTGTCAGCGAGAGGTGCAACGTCCGCAATATGTTCTGGAACACTGCATCATTTATGCTGTGATGCAATGTTAAAGGGATGTAAAGTTCGTGGTCAATCACATGAAACGGTAATCGAAAGTCTGAAATGTATTCTCCACTAGAAAGGACTACTTAGGTGGGGTTGTAGTATCGATTATCGTGCGGCATGATTCTGGGACGGTTCAGTCACGTCGGGACGCCGTCTTTTGAATGAACTTCTCGATCAACTCCAAGGCCGTACTCGGTAAAAAAGACTACTTTTGTAGTATTATTTTCTTTTGTGATTTTCGATATCCCTGTAAATTCAAACTGAGTTTATATCAAACATGCACGAAATATTCTTTCTTGTACTTGTCAAGTCGTTAATCACCTCTTCTACAAACCCCTAGCTTGAAGAAAGGGTATGATTCGGTTTTTAAAAGTAATTCCTTATTCCCAAATAATGTTGAGCCCTAACTGTCGGTGCATTTGCGTTTAGGGCATGCAGCCTACAAGCTGTTTGCCTTTGGAGTAAGGAAAAGCATACATCTCTTTATACCGTTATAAAGACGCCATATAGGATTCACGAAAATCACTAGTGAAAGGAGGGATACGATTTTATTTGAATGGGCATTTTAGGGCCCTGAAAAACCTCAAGGCTCGGTCACTTCAGTACCCTGAATTGTCCGCTTCCTTGAGAATCCCTGCTCAAAGTTTGGGGCGTATGGAAATACAGCAAACAACCGTTGCACCCAAGGCGTCATGGTACAAAACGAGCTGTGTGTGTGTGGGCTAGTTGGAGTGGAAGGATTCATGAGCTAGGGAGGTGATCTTGATTACCTCTCACAAGAAGATTGGGTGTCCCCTTATCTGAAAGGAACTAGTTCCTGGACTTGTCCCTCTAATTAGGACGTCAGGCGCGGGGACTGAGTATAATAGGTAGTTAAAAAGTTGAAATTTAAATTATTGAGGAAATGGCGGTGAGTTATCGAGATGAGGGTGTCGACGCGACACGTACCAAGCCAGGGAGACCAAGCTATTCGGACAAGCTTCACTGTGACGAGGAAGCACATGCGCAGCTCAACCGGCAGAGGCTGCGAAGCGCGTGCGCCTGGTCTTTTTGAATCTCCAGCCAATCAGCGATGGGTGCAGCGTCGATTAGTGTTGAGTTCTCGCCACACCGGGGCCAAATCACGCGCGACTCAAGCAGCCAATTAACAGGAGAAGTTGGGCAAATCGAAGGCGACATGGGTGAGCATTGGAACTAGCGACCGTGAAATCGGACTGCCATAACCAAACATTTTCATTGCTCGGCGGGTCACCTGAACCAGCCATGAGGCAAGGAAGAAATGACTGTCAAGAGTGTTTAATTTACTGCGTTCCTCATGAAACATGGCCTATTACTAGCGATTGACACAATCAAGAAGCAGGAGTGAGGTGGACTTGTATCCCTAGATGTCACCAAATTGACAAATATGCTACTGCGAATCGCGATTACCAAATAACAGGTTGCGGAAACGCTGTGTGGTTCACAGACAGGTACACAGTTCGGAATGGCAGAAGTATGACCTTGACCGCGGGAGGTACCGCGTCAAAAAAGTGTGTTTGCAGGGAAACGTCGGCACCAGTTCTACTAATCAAGGGATCATTCCCCATTCGTGACTTGAAAATGGCTCAGTGGCTTGTAGGTCATATTGCCCGGCAATTTATCCGATTCAGTAGATTCATAACCGTCATGAGCTGCGCAATCAAACCCCAGCCTCTCTCGTCCCAATCCGTATTACCTGCGCGATTTACATTGGAATAACTGCTGCTAAGATTATCGCCCACACCGGAAACAAAACAGGCCTAGAATTGATTGAAGCCTGGGCCTCGGATGAGAACTCAGTCAATCGATTTATCGATCTGGCGCTGGCGTACAGAACCCTGCACAGCCATCTCCAGTCTTGCGCCATCGATCGATGATTGGCTAACACGCCCTATAATTGTCACTCGTTCTGTTGTTGCTGCTATCTTTGACGACGGACTCCTGCATGAGTTCGGAAGCTCAGAACAATAAACAGAATGTTCTGGTACCCGACCAGTCTTCTTATGCATTCATATGCACTTTTCATATCCAGTATAAACAGTGACGAATGCTTTTTTCTCTCCCATCACTTTCGTGCCTTCCCAAATAGTCAGAAGATGAACCCTGCGACAATGAATCAACCCAGGACGAATCTCCACCCCCAGAATGATATTTTATTTGTGCACCTGATGCCTAAACTTCAAATACTGACGTATTCCGCCCTGAGTATATGCTCATTCACGTTTGCGATGTGACATTCAAACCTCACACTGTCTGTCAACTGCACTGCCAGCACCCGCCTAGATGTGCACGCTCGTTGTAACCATTTTCCTAGAAATTATACTTTGCCAGAATGAGGTCGCAGATGGGTCCCATGCACTTAAACCAGTTTGATTTGCTCATGCATTTCCACTACTCACCTCTTATTAAGTAGTCTAACAATACTGCAGACAGGACGATGTTCACCTTGTGCCCAACAGCGGATATGATACAGGACGGTGAGTCGCGCGTGAATCAGTTTTAAGGGATAGCAGACTTGCGGGGCATCTACCGCACCCTCTCTTCACTCATCCACCTGGGCCCCGCGGCAAAACATAGTCAGGACGACCGGAAGTGAGCTCAGGGATGGCGACTGGCAGAGGTAGCGATCACTCTACGCGTGCCACGCACGTCCAGGTTTTCAAGGAAATGGGGATGAGCGGTCTACACGTCGCTTTCGTGAAAATAACACACTCGGAAGGCGTTATTAAACCTGTTTCTCAGCCCTTAGGCTAATGACCTCAGGCACTCTCACAGCACTGGCCACGAGAGCCAATTTACCCCGTCAATTGGCAGCCTCCTATGACACGACGTTTTGTGTGTCGTGGTTGACTCAAACGCGTCAGATTCATTGTAGTGAGGAATTCTCTAAGGGGCCGTGAGGAAGGCCCCCTCAAGTCGACCTCGCTTTCCCTTCTCATTCCCATGCAGAGGTTCGCTGTTCGAACCGATCAGTAATCTGGCGCTGGGATTAGGCATAGGGGTTGACAGGGTCACAATAATGGCTCTACGCGCGCCTCGGCGACCCGGTCCCTGCGCGGTGTGCCAGCTTCTCACACCAAGGGACAGTTCGAATCTCGCGTGCGTAAGAGTGCCATATATGTTACAAGAAGAAGGAACCATGCAGCGTAGCTCATCGATGGGTACCTCCAGTCTTCTCTGTTTAGTTTTGGTTATAAAAGTGCTTCATTTTCCTAAAAATTAGATTTTGCTTTTATTAGGAAGCAATTATAAACTCCTAGTACAAGTATTCTCAGGCTAAACTTAAATAAGAAACAAATATTTAGGCCGAATTCCCATAGTCTTAGTGTATAAGTAAGTAAGTAGGCTATATATACTGTCATCTTATATGCCAACTCGTGCACATGTCGAAGTGTGATTTAATAACTTCGGAAACTCCAAGTTTACGCATTACTTTTCAACAAGGTCTAAAGCTTAAGGATAGCACTTTTAAAAACAATATTCTCCCGGAAGAAATTTTAACGTGACCAAGTCTTTGGGAAAGGTAGAATTTAATGAAATTACCAAACGTCCTTGATAAACACGGAATTTCGAAGGGCCACCGCCGATTTGAACGGCGGTGTCCCTAATGTTTGAGGGTATCTTAAAACAGTTAAATCTGATCTCAGGCCGGCTGATTCAAGTCAATCTCATCACTGGGTGCGTTTACCCGATAGTCCAAAGGAATTTTGTTACAGAGTCTAGACCATGCGCAAATCATCCTACCCAGAGAAGACGGTTCCCCACAGGGATGTACTGGCGCCTTCTCTAAAACCAAAGCCTGTTTTCTAATCAAGCAAAGTTTTAAGCTTATATCTTTAAATTTTAACCGAAATCCGGACGTGTGTCTTCGATTTGAAAGGATTAATTGGGTGGGGTTTTGGTACTGATTATGGCGTAACATAATCAAAAGGTGATTCTGCCGGGCTAGGATACCGGCATTTGAGCTAGTTCATTTCGAAGGTTCGCAGAACCCACATTTGGTAACAATTGGCTGTTTAAGTATTACTCATTTTCATGACTCTTTTGAGACGCCCTTATAAATTCAAATTCATTTTGCAGAGAACACGCTTAAAAGTATTTCTTCCTGCACTCATTTGTTGCAAAATTGCTTTTTTGAATTTAATGCTTGAAGAAGGAGAAAATGGGACTTTTAAGACCGTGAAATGTCTATCGTACCTCTCCATTTCTTAACGCCTACATACAGTAGGCGGTCTAACCCATGAAATGTCAACCGAAATTCCGAAATGAGTTTTGGTTTCAAGAAGACTAATTAAATAGGGTTACAAAATTAATCGTTATATAGCATAATTCTAAAATAACTCAGTTGCATCAGGATGATGGCTTTTGAATGGACTTCTTTTCGGCCACCCGCAGAAACCATCTTAAAATGACTACTTAATTAGCATGCCTTTTTCTCGTCGATTTTCGATGCTTTTAAAAATTCAATTATATTTCTCTGAAAACATGCCAAAAATATTCATCCTTTTGTTCATTCGGTAGAAAATTATGTCTTCTCCCAATTTTATACTCGAAAAGGGTATAATTCGGTTTAAGAAAAGGTTTATAACAGTGCTTTTTTAATACTTTGAAATGGCCGTTCATAAAACGTCCTGTTTCTGCATTTACCAACACGGCTTGTAAATTCAACAATATGGCTCAAATCCACTGCCAAATTGTATAAACTCCATACAGTCTCTTCTTAGTACCGTAGAGAAATGTATGGCTTTCGTACGTGGAAACTATACGGCTTGTAGTTTGGAAACTCTGAATGCAAGTGTAACGGCAGGTCGGGTTCAAAATTATCCGGGAATTGGAAAGGTTTTTACAAACTGAATTATACTCTTCTTTTGAGTATAAAATTGGAAGAAAACGTAATTTTCTACCGAATGATTAAAAGAATGGATATTGTTATGCATGTTTTCAATGAAATATGATTGAATGTTTAAGGGCTCCGAAAATCGGCGAGAAAAAGGCATGCTACATATGTAGTCGTCTTTTACACAGCATGGTTTCTGCAGGCCGCCGAAAAGAAATTCATTCAAAAGCTAACATCCTGATGTAACTGAATTATCATAGATTTATGTTGCATAATGATTATTTTTACAACCCTATTTAACTAATCTTTCAGAAACAAAAACGCATTTCCGGATTTTGATTGAAATTTCATTAGTTAGCCCACCTACTGTAGTTCACATTCCTTGCAAACATTTATTAGACCCAGATAGTATCTTCCTAAAGGCGCAGAGAAATTTATTATTTCCCTTACATGGGAGGCATACACCTTGTGGTTTGGGAACCCTAGGCGTAAATGAAACTGCAGGTAGGTTTCCAAATCATCCGGAAATTAAAGGGTTTTTAAAAAACCGAATGATAGGTCAGGTGTGGTTATGTAGCCCCACCGGAAGTAAATAAGCCCCAGCCATCTTTAATACGAGACCTGTGGTAATAGGAGCTTTTACAGGCGACACAAGGGAACGCACAGGCGACGAGGTCAAGTAGTTTGCATATAAAAGAAAAACAGTTGGGAATGTGCGGTTGTCCTTGAGTGGTTTAGAATTAGTTGCCCTAACCCAAAACCCTAACGCTAACACCTAGCCGTAGCCCCTAACCTTACGTCTAACCCTAACCCCAACCCAAGCATTATTGTGTCCATAAGGTGGGGTTACATAACCACATCTTACCGAATAATACTTTTTCTTCGAGTATAAAAGTTGAGGAAAATGCGGTATACTATTATACTAGCACAAAAAGAAGATTTTTCTGCTAGTGTTCCATGAAATATTTTTGAATTTTTAAAGACAAAGAGACAGTGGGAAATTCTCGCACTATGCAAGTAGTCACTTTTTATTGACTGTAGATTTCGCAGACTCGCGAGTAGGAGCTCATTCAAAAGCCGGTATCCTAAGTGGCCTTTTCTGATCAGAAACACTATTCAGAATTTCGGTTGATTTTTTTGTGTGATAGATCGCGCCTTTAGCACGAACAGCCAGCAAAAAAGGATTCCGAGGCGTACCTTAACTCCGTGCCAACCGCAAGTCCTGTGAGCCCGCCTGTCGAAAAGAAATGACACCCCTTCATGTTACCACTTTTAGGCAGCAAGTTTGAGGATGTACACGTCATTGGATGCGCGAAAGCACGTGGAGCACAGCATGAGAAAGATTAACTGTGCCCCCGTCCGCTTTGAGAAAAAAGCCGGTCTTGAATCGGAGGATCCCACGCAGTCATTTTCCCTTAACGCTTTGAGGTAAACGGGGCGCGCCCGATTCGACCACACGAAACCAAACCACTGGACCAAGTAGGTTGTTGCACTGCCCAGTTGGGGGTTACTGCGACCCCCCGTGTTGCCAGTGTTGACGACGTTTCAGTTACTGTTATCCTTCATACTATTTTTTTCTATGCCTGGTGGCAAAGGAGGCCGTTAAGGTTCCGACCGCATCCCCCCATGCAAGTAAGACTGCCTGATGATGCCCTCTTCAAGTTGGATGCAAAAGATCCAAAGTATGGCCAACAGTGTACTGAACTTCGGGAATCTGACAGTTTAGACGTCGTTGCTGCAGCAGGATGGGACCAAGGACGGTGACTTGCGCGTGAATTATTTTATAATGGTAGCAGTCCACCTCTTCCCTGTCCGTAGATGTATCGAAAAACACCTCGTTCTGCATGCTCGGTCTAAAAATGTCGAACGTATTAGCCATCAGGGAGGTTAGTTTGCGGGGGTTCCAACGAAGGTTAACCAATATTTAAAGTGATTCATAGTGAGAGAAGTTTAGGATCGTGCAGACCTACACATTCGACTGAATTCTGGCTTTAGTTTTCCATCGTGAGACTTAGGAGAGTCATGAGTCTCCATGAGAACATTCTTCGCGCACTATACGTTTTAGGCTTCTTATGTCGACCAATATTTCACCTTTGTTCTGTTCTCAATGAAATTGAGAGAGATTTCAGATAATTAAGTCGACCGTTTATATCGTGAGCGTCCGAAAAGTTCGTTGCTAAAATGAGGGAGGCGTTAAAAAACAAGACCAGCAACATGGCATACAGTGCGTGACCTATCTCATGAAATGTTGTCTGAAATTCTGAAATGCGTTTTCGATTAGGAAGGATTACTTGGTCGCGGTTGTGATACTGATTAGCTTAAGGCATACTATTATAACATTTTCTACTCGGCAGGATGTCGACTTTTAAATGCACTTCTTTTCAATCTCCTGTAGAAAGCGTGCTTGGTAAAAAATGACTACTTAAGTAGCATGCATTTTTCCCATTGATTTTCAATGGTCTTGGAAATTCAAATATATTTTATAGAAACCACAAACAAAAATATGCTTTCTTTTAGTCAATCAATAGAAAATAATGTCTTCTTTATATTTTATACTTAAGGAAGGAGTATAATTAGGTTTTTAAAAATTTTTCTATTTGCCGAATAATTTGGAACCTGATCATTCGTTGCATTAGCGCTTAGTGATTTCATTCTACAAGGAGCATGCGTTCCGCGTAAAGAAAATCCCATATTTTTCTATGTCATTAAAGAGCTATTATACAGGGTCCATAAAATTTTGCGATGGATGCGGACCATGTTGTACATTTCATGAGGAGCAGTGGTAAACGGCCAGGTACGAAGCTATGTGAATGAACATATCGCGGTCTTAAAAAGTCTCATAATTAGAAACTTTTGTAAAACCTAATTATACTCCTTCATTAAGTAAAAAAATATAAAGAAGACGTGATTCTCTATTGATTGACTAAAAGAAAGCATATTTTTGTTTGTGGTTTCTATAAAATATATTTGAATTTCCAAGACCATTGAAAATCAATGGGAAAAATGCATGCTACTTAAGTAGTCATTTTTTTAACGAGCACGCTTTCTACAGGAGATTGAAAAGAAGTGCATTTTAAAGCCGACATCCTGCCGAGTAGAAAATGTTATAATAGTATGCCTTAAGATAATCAGTATCACAACCGCGACCAAGTAATCCTTCCTAAACGAAAACGCATTTCAGAATTTCAGCCAACATTTCATGAGATAGGTCACTCACTGTACATCAGTAATTCATTTTGACCCAACTGTAGAAAACTGCTCACCTCGTTGAAATTCGAACGCCTACTAAGTACGTGAGCCTGGTAGTCGTCTGGTGGATTCTAGATGGATTACTTAGAAAATCCTGCTTGGGCAGTCAGCTTACTGTATCAGATTTGGTGGATTTCAGACGTTGCAGTAGGTTGGGCGGGTAACTTGACCTAAATGTGATTAAACTCACGTTTTCCGATGTGGGCTCCTAGCTGGGGTGGCTAGAGCGCTGGTTGTACTAAAGCCTACCCCTGTTGTCGTGGGTTTGAACCCCACCGAGGCGCCGCGCTTTTCACGGTTGGGTCAAAATGAACTGTATTCTGTTGACGGAACAGCTTGCTGGTATTGGTTAAGTCAAACAAAAGGAGCTGAATTCGGACCCGCGATACGTGCTTAAACTGACGATGCGCACACAGGAATCAACGAAATACTTCAAAGAGTCCTGCCCAGCAAACGCATCAAGCAAGGGCAGCTGCTGCTCCTGTTTCTTCTCTTACGTTAATTCTATATTTAGAAGGATGGAGTTGAGCAGGTTAGAAAAAATCTGCAGCATGTTCTTCCTGTCGATGAAAAAAACGCGTCGCCAACGTAGCGGCGCCGAGGGACTGGCTCTTACTGTAACAAATTTTACATCCCATCTAACAAAAAGTCCGCTTCCCCATGCCATACCTTTCTCAGATAGTGAAGGGGGAGGCAGCTTTTAAAAGGCGGAAACCAGTAGCTGACGGACTAGGTCTGGTTGGATAACCGACCGCCCACGATGGATAGATGATTGGCTGATGGACGATGGCCAATCACATTGCAGGACATAAGTGCACTTGGCATTGTCTATGCCATGGCGCCTCCTTGCGTTCAGAAGAGAAATTCGTTTGTACTGTTTAGCAATTCATGCATTTCCCAGTAGAAGGCGGTTTAGACCGCGGGGTTATAAAATGCCCCTAGGTGTGACTATTTATCTTACACTAGCTAACCTGTCTGCAGAGGGAGAAGCAGTAAACTACGGTTTAGAATTTCGCCCATATCCATGTCGGTTGTTGTAAACTTCTGGGACAAGAGATTAGACCGTAGCTGGAAAAGTTGGGATATGATTACATAACTGCGTCCATTCCGACGCGTATCTAGTGGTCTCGCAAAAGTAGACGAACAGTATCGCCCGTCAATGCGTCACCCTGTCTCGGCGCCATGGTGAACCCTGTCAAAGCAGTGAACATTTCCATCCATGCCCCACAAATTGGGTTTCTGACTGTCATTCGGCTGCAAATTCTCAAGAAGTAGACTTCATTCCGAGTAATTGGGTTTTAAGTGGGAAGGAGTGCTGACAAAGACTAGGCAGACTAGGACGGCCATTTCTGACTTATTAGCCGTCATCGGTCAGGTTTGCCCAACCCCAGTCTTGGGTGATCCGAGATTGTGACCCGAATTCCCTGAGCATTGAGCCTTATCTCCAGCTCTGTACCTTTGACCCACGGGCCCGTCTTCATGTCAGTTGCGATGGAAAGTACTAATTGCCATTGGAAAGACGTCTATTGATCAAGTCACAGAATATGAGCGTCCCGTTCCGCTTTCAATTTGGAGACTTCGATGTCATTCGCGTAGAGACCAAAAGTGCCTGTCGACAAAGAGGAGGAAGGTTAAGACGGTCATTAAGTGCTTATTAGCCATCATCGGCCAGACATACACAACGCCGAAGTTGGATAATCTGGGATTTAATTCGGTCTTAGATGTGTAAGAGACTGTTTAAGTCCCTCACGGTAGATTTTAGGCTGCATCCTCTGGAAATAACGATTGCCGTCAAGGAATACGGAGCGCAATAAGTGGTATAGTATGGGGGCCGAGCGTCTGAAAAAGAAGTTTCACGTTTTCTGGAGAAAGTGACGAAATACAAGTCTTATTCAATAGCGGATGGCGCCCTAACTGCTCAAAATTTGTCTTTGCCCGAAGACGGCACTGCATAACACTATGAGACGTCCTCCCAGCTTAGGAAAATAGAGCAGAGGATTAGTTATTTCATCTGTCTAGTGATTTTCACGCTGGGGTTGACCTGAATTCGTGTCAAGTCCAGAGCCAATAATTACCTCCAGTCGAGGTATTCTTCCACGATATTGATGCTCTCCCTAACATGCCTATTTTAATGAGATCTTGGACGACGCCAGGTAGAAAAACGCCGTAAAGCTTGGTCGAACATGGTAAATTGTCAGATAACTGGGGGGCCTGTATACCCGATGTTTTTTGAGAGTACTGAGCTAACAAAGAAGAACCTCTTGCTTAGATGAAACCAAAATCTATGTTGGTGAATGCCAGGTATAAAAAGTTTCTGGCAACGCGGTTATTTCTGGTTATCTGGCTCACATCAGTTAACTTTACCTCAACCACTAACCGAGAGGACCAGTGATGTAAGCCCTCCAAATCTTCTATCAGGGCAACGCCACCCCTCCTTTCTGCGAAACGTTCATCCACCCATTTCCACCTCAACAATCGTTCCTGAGTTATTTTTGCCCTCAACGAACTGCTATGTCGACATCAAGGACACTTCAAGCTTTCATCAGACGACGAAGAACTCACCCATATAGAATCATATGGTCCAACAATCTCTTCGATGCACTATGTCAAAAATCCCTTGCCTAGCACCAACGTTGGCGTGGCCATGCAAGCAAACTGTAAAATATTCGATATCATGCTTTCCTTTATCAACCGTCGGCACATCCTTCAGAGCATAAACTGTGGAAACTCGGCTTGGCCGTCGGCGTTCAGTCCAGCAGCACCAACTTCACACCAAAAACTCAATCGCTTATACTTTCAGCCACCCCTGTCATCCTGACACTTTTCATCGACCGCAGACGCCCACTCTGTTAACGGCAGACACGTCATTCGGCTAATTAGGTTTTGAAACCCATCCAATCTACTAAAGGTTTTTGCATTACCAAATACTGTCAACCAACGGACCAAAATGACTGTTTCAATCTCAAATTATGCCAGTAAAACTTGGTAATTATTCACTACATGCTGTGGTGAGACCATCTTGATGCTATGATCAGGATATATGGCAGCTGGACCGTCGTGCCAGCTGATGTCAGCCTTGTGTTCCACAGCAAGGTGAAGCAGGTACGGGGACTTGCGCGTGAATTAGTTTATTATAAGAGTGGACTTGCGCAGCATCTACCCCACCCTCTCCACCCTGGTCCG